GAACATTTTGCCGGCTGACTAACTTTAAAGTTTTTATCCTGTTACCCCCAAAATTGAAAATGACCAGTTCCAAAAACAGAAGCTGGACAAGTCCATTTAGCAGGATAAGGGTTACGGTAATGTAAAACAGCACAGGGTTTTTCATGTGCATGTGTGAAAAATTACCATTTAACATAGACATACAATTATGTATATATTAGTTCCACAACACAGGGGAAAAAAATGAAAACAGTTGGATTTCCATAATATGTAAGTTATTTTTTACAATTCAAAAATATTCATCATGTGAATAAAGTAAAGAGAAAACAATTTAAACATGATTAATACAAATATTTTCACCAATACATCAAATAAAAAGTGTTTTATTGGTCAATATAAAAAATAAATCAGATTTTATGATTCTGGTCAATATCTTGTAGTTTTTTTTGTTTGTTTTTTTCACTACATCCCATTAACAAGTTGTCTCCCTTTGAAAACTTAGGTTCAACAAATAAATGTGAAAAAACAAATGATAATAGTGATATGTTCCCCATTTCAAAGTAAGTTTGTCTCCCTTTGAAACAACTAGTCAATAATGAGTTGTTTCCCTTAGATAAACAATTTAATTATATTACATGTATTAGATACACACGTCTTTTCATAATATTCAATAAACACATTCATTCAATAATAAAAAACATACAACACTGTACAGACTGTACATAAAACAAAAATCACTGGTTACTTAAAGTAAGAGAAATATCACAAAAGTAAGAATGCAAAAGGCTATAAACATGGTACAGTTCGAGAAATAAAGGTAGAAAAACTACAAGCATGAAATAACTATAAATAAATCACAAAAAACCCTCTGAAAGACTTGAAAAATAGAAAAGAAATTGTTTAAACTATAAACATCAAAAAGATGACTTCTTTTATAAAGCAAAGAAAAAAGAAGAAGAAAAGACGTATGTAATCAAAATTAAAACCTGTCTCTCAGGTAATATTCCCTTGTTTTGTTTTATACATTACATGTTAAAGTTTGCAGATTTTACTTAAATCTGGACATTTATGTCAAAATATGAGCTTAAATCACAGAAAATAACAGAATGATTATAATATTGTGTCTTTCATACATTGTATATCTAATTCATTGCAGATTTTTCTTCCAGAAAATATTGTGACATTCATATACATGTACATAACTAATTCATTGGAGATTTTTTTTCTCCAGAAAATATTGTGACATTCATATACATAACTTATTCATTGCAGATTTGTTTTCCAGAAAATATAGTGACATTCATATATACATAGTTCAGAATTTTTTTCAAAATTTTTATATCAACATAGAAAAATGAGGTACATTGCGCTGTTTAGTTCATTAACATAGTTTATTTAGTTTATTAACTAATATAAAAGGACACATATGTGTAGTATATTTTTTCATAAACTGTTTTTCTTTTAGTAATCGGTGGGTGGGTGGAGGGGGTATTGATGTATATATAGACATACTGGCTATATGACTATGGTAAGGTCATATGAGACTTTTCAGGATTTAAACCCGTAACTTGATAAATTAAAGATAAATTAGTTACTCATGGTTATGGAGACGCTTATTCAACCTAAAGTGTAACTAGTACAAAAGATAAATTAGTTACTCATGGTAATGGAGACGCTTATTCAATCTATACTGTGACTAGTACAAAAGATAAATTAGTTACTCATGGTTATGGAGACGCTTATTCAACCTAAACTGTAACTAGTACAAAAGATAAATTAGTTACTCATGGTTATGGAGACGCTTATTCAATCTAAACTGTAACTAGTACAAAAGATAAATTAGTTACTCATGGTTATGGAGACGCTTATTCAATCTATATAACATTCAGCAAGTGTATAAAAATGCCACTTAACGAATGTCTCATCTTAAGAAATGAAAATTTTCCCATTTAATATCTGACACCCTTTAAAGCCTGACTTTGAGTAGTGATCAGACCATATTAGTCTTATGTCACGATCATGAAGGACCAAAGTTACATTAAAGGAACTCCACTATGACTAAAAAGTCAAAAACCATAAATTTTGATATTCATGCATGGATCAAGTGAAGCACATTTAACGAAATATATGCAAAAGATAATAAAGAAATATAGCCTGGAACCCCGTTGTATCGATCTATTTACCAATAAAACACAACTGCAGTTAAAAAATTTAAATCATCCTGAATCTTTATTTTGTATAATCTATTTTGATCCTTTGGTCATAATATTTACATGATAAACATCACTGATATATAGTATTAAGCTTTAGAATATACGGATATTTACAGACATGTCAAACAGGTTGCAGAATTAGGTCACGCCATTATATCGATGCATTGTGAGAATCGCTCAGTTAGTCAAAGTTTGGGAAGCATGAGCCATCTATATGTTAAATTTTTTAATCAAAAAGTCTGTTTTAGAATGTCAGCATAAATCTAGGAACTTTTTACAGACAGTAAATGTACTTTTAATAAGAACACATTATCTATAAGTCTATTTATTATCTACAAATCAAGGCCGTCGTTGATGGTCCGGCCGGTCCGGCCTTGGCCGGACCAATATTTTGGCCAAAAATGAGTGAAAAAAAAACAACAAAAAAACACGCATCGCTGATAAGCAATTTCTAATTTACTTAAGTATTCTTCAAAACGTGACAGTCTCTTGAGATCTAGCACCTGATACGCCGGGTTTTAGAACTCTACACTGTACTACAGGACCTATGGGACGAGTGTAACGCTAAGAACTCTGAGACCAGGGCGCGAATTCTGGGTGTTTCTGCTCAGATGAGGACGTTCGAGTACTTTTTCGGTGTAATGCTTGCACACGACATCCTAGCATTTACAGACAACCTCAGCAAATCTCTTCCAACAAGTTTCATTGTCAGCATCCGAGGGCCAGCGGTTAGAAAAGCAGACTCTATATAGTTTGATAGACAGGAGGTCAGACGACAGTTTTGATTCTTTTTGGATTAAAGTTCAAAGTGAGAGTGATCGCGTCGATATTAACGATCCAAGTTTTCCCCGGAAGAGAAAGGCGCCCACACGATTCGAGATGGGGCACGGTGTTGGCTACCACCCCATTACACTGCAGGACGTGATTCGGCCTAAGTACTTTGAAGCAATCGATATTGCCTTGGTCAGTGTAAAAGAGAGATTTGACCAACCGGGATATCGCGTACTTCAGAACGTGGAGGATTTACTTATTAAGGCCGCACAGCCTTTGAAGACCGAGTACACTAGAGAACTTGGTTTTTGTTTGTGATTTTTATGGTAACGATATTAACCGAGACATCTTAGAGGTGCAGCTTCAGCTGCTACGTTCACATTTTGACAAATCAGAAAATAGTACTGTTACTTTACCTGACGTTTTGAAATTTGTGTCAGAACAGTTGGTGCTAGAACGAGCACTGTTCTCTGAGGTTGTTGTGTTGTTAAAGATTTTGTAAGTAATACCTGCTACTAATGCTACCAGTGAAAGGACATTTTCGGCGTTCAGAAGAATAAAGACATACACGAGATCTACAATGTACGCTTGAACAATCTAATGGTGTTACATATTCACAAGTACAGGACAGATTTACTCAACTTACGTGTAATTGCCGATGAGCTCATTACCACCAGAGAACGACGGCGATGCTTTTTTTGGAAAATTTACATAAAATGAGACTCTGTTGTATAAGATTCTTGTGAATAAGTTACTGCTAAACAAAAAGTGGTACTGTAATATTTCTTGTAATTGTTTATTTGTAATTATCAGATAAAAATGCATCTAAAGAGTTAAAACAACATCAGTTATTGTTTATTTTTCATTTGCCAAATATCAATTACATGTATTCATCTTTTATGTACACCTATCCGTCCGTTATGCGAACCTTAAATTTCACCCTTAAAACTTACCACGCACTTAAATCTGTAAAAAAATCGTTGACATATTACTATAACATGTACTTGCGGCAGGCTGTAAACTGTGCCAAATATACGGGAAAACGGCCCTGAGAGCATCCTAGAATAAAAAAATTTCCGGGGGAGCATGCCCCCGTACCCCCCTAGATTCTTGCTAAATCCAACCAGATTGGCCGCACCATTCACAAAATCGTGACGACGGGCCTGCAAATGTCTTACGGTACTGGAAACATGTTTTTGATCATTTTTACAGCACAAAAACAAATGTGAAAGATTTTTGTGACATTGTTGTGAATGTAAACAATCAGTAGGTGGCACATTTTGCAAGAAATTGAAAGATTTGTAAATAGATCGATAAAAAGAATAGCATGATACAATGGGGTTTCACTATACTCAGAATTAAATTGAAAACCAATTTTTTTGCAAAATATTTTTACAGTAGCCCAGCTTGAGTGAGAAGCATTGAACGCATTTTGTTTTTATTGTTATTTTGCACAGTACAAATATTTATTCTTGGAAAATTAGGTGAAGGAACAAACTGAAATTTTGCCAACAAGTTATTTACTATCAAATGATGCTGAAGTCTTGGAAATAAAATCCAGCGCCTTCATGTAAAAAGAAAAACCTCAGTGGAGTCCCTTTAAGCTTTGTAAACCTCAGTGGAGTCCCTTTAAGCATTGTAAACCTAAGTGGTGTCCCTTGAAGCTTTCTAAACCTAAGTGGTGTCCCTATAAGCTTTGTAAACCTTAGTGGAGTCCCTATAAGCTTTGTAAATCTTAGTGGAGTCCCTTTAAGCTTTGTAAACCTTAGTGGAGACTCTTTAAGCTTTGTAAACATAAGCAGAGTCCCTATAAGCTTTGTAAACCTTAGTGGAGTCCCTATAAGCTTTGTAAACCTTAGTGGAGTCCCTATAAGCTTTGTAAACCTTAGTGGAGTCCCTATAAGCTTTGTAAACCTTAGTGGAGTCCCTATAAGCTTTGAAAAACCTTAGTGGAGTCCCTATAAGCTTTGTAAACCCTAGTGGAGTCCCTATAAGCTTTGTAAACCCTAGTTGAGTCCTATAAGCTTTGTAAACACCTAGTGAGTCCCTATAAGCTTTGTAAATCTTAGTGGAGTCCCTATAAGCTTTGTAAATCTTAGTGGAGTCCCTATAAGCTTTGGAAACCTCAGTGGAGTCCCTATAAGCTTTGTAAATCCTAGTGGAGTCCCTATAAGCTTTGGAAACCTAAGTGGTGTCCCTTGAAGCTTTCTAAACCTATGTGGTGTCCATTGAAGCTTTGTAAACATAATAATGCATTGGCATGCAGAGCATTTTCATCAGCTAAATTGAATTAAACAAATTGGAAACTGTATATTGCATCTACCCTATCTTCAAATAAATAAACTAACCGATCTACTTTAAATTATTTGCATAAAAGAGATTCTTTAAACATAAGTATAAAAGACCTATTGTGCTAAGGTATTGTGTAAAATTTGTTCTATAACATTAAATTTTTTAATCAAAATACATGTTTACAAATAATTGTATGGTTTTGCTGATAAAATAACATTTGAAACAAAATACAGTAGAACTTCTATGAGTCAAACTTCGATTAGTTGATTTTCTCGAATGAAAGTCCCAATTTTTTCCCCTATAAATTTTTATCAAAACCTATACATGAGTCAAAATTTTATGTGTCGAATTTTTCTTGTGGTCCGTATAGAAGAAATCGAGTACAATTTACCTTAAATAAGTCAAAAGTCCTTCGATTAATTTGACATCTTGGATCTCAAGACATTTTTCACACCTTTTCTGGCCACGAAGATGATTTTCGATCAACTTGTGTGACAGGTGTTAAATACACAGCCGTGTGTTCTAACAGCCTATGTATGCGTCCACACATATGATAAAATATTCTTATTGTTATTATTCCAATTGCCGTAGGTGCTGTAGTTGTATTTAAAAATGAATAGTACACATTAGTTTTGTTTGGGAACTTCCCTGACCCTGTGTCACATGATAATCAAACTAGACATAATTATTATAAGCTGGTTTAGTTATCGCCCTTTCATTTTCTTTCATCTTTTGTAACTTGATAGTAAACATCGAATGCTGGAAATTTTGTCATTTAATTGAGACCGAATCATAAGTCAAAGTCCCGATGTGTTGAGGTTTTTACACAAGTCCCTTCAACTTCAACTTATCGAAGTTCTACTGTATTTTGTAATAAAACAGCTGAACACCTTTAAAATTATTTAAATGGGATCTCTCACATAAAACAAGATTATATTTTCTTTGTAAAATCATTGTAAAATCTTTGTGTCAGAAAAGTAATAAAACAGTGCCAACCTAGTAACATAATTATAGATATACTAAATATTATTGAACAAGTTGAATTAAATCATAGATACAGCAACCATAATATTGTTTTATTCAACAAGTTTAATCTACACGAATATAATATTTCATTGATCACATATCTAAAATAAGAACGGTTCACAATTAAAAACAGTCATTTTTCATTGATGCGCCCATAGTATAAGCCTTTTAACGCTATGTTTGTATAAAATGCAAATGACGTCACATCAAATTGTTATCACATTTGTGTAATATTGTTTTTATTAAGATTTAAATGGATTTATTACACAGTTGCTATATAGTTTATGTAAAATATAAAATTTTGGAATATTTTCCTTTGAGAAAATCCCTTAATATTCAAAATAACTATGACTACTAAACAAAATTAATGCCTTTAATTAAAATAAACATAAATTTAAAAACCAAGCTAAATCATTAAAATATCCCTTAAAATAAATTTTTGAAGGGCAAGAGGTGGGTTTGAATAAATAAATGCCATAAAAAAGATCTCTTTGTGTAAAAGTCATGGTGATTTTAATACAAAAATTTTCATGAAATACAAAACTTTTTTACTAAACAGACTGGTATATATAAAAGATGTTTTTAAGTAAAAAACAAACTAAGAGCAGTTGTAACAGGTAGGTAGATAAAAGTTTCATATTTGTCTATTTCGGGAATAAAGAGCCCCCGTTGGGTCCCGGTATGTAGACACCGGCTTTTGACATAATAAACATGGCAAGAATACTTAGGACAATAACAACATTGGTACCGAGTGCCGATTTTAGCGTCGATTTCCAAGAGGGGTTAAAAAAGGCCGGTGCTATCGTACTAAGTAAGGCCGTACACACGGTCAACGAATATAAAATACAGACTGAAGTGTTGATTGCAATGATTTGGCCGAACTTTGCAAATGGTTGAATCGTGGTTTGTGTCAGTGGTAATGCAGCAATAATCGTGGTAAGGGCGGAGCTTATAACTGACACGCCTATATGACTGAAAGTTGCCCTTGTCCTCCATCTTCTAGCTTTACCAGCATCCTGTAATACACAAATAATTACAAAATATTTATTAGAACTAGTTTGTAAGTGGATTATCAAAGAGCACACACACACATAAATGAAATTCAAAACAAATACTGTAAAACACTTATTATTCGCGAGAAATTTATTTTCGCTAATATTCGCGAGTTTTTTAAGACGCGAATTCATATTTCTCGCGAATATTTCACTTTATCTATACACTTGTCCGAAAATGAACACTATCCGAAAATGCGTACACATGGATTTATTTCTGCGGGAAAGTATCGAAGCCATTTCTAGTTACATCACGTAGCTATTCAAGTGTTTCAGAATGACTGTTTTGGTATTTGGTACAAATGCTTTAGCACCTGCGAGTTGTTTGTATCATTTCTATTTATTGTATCCTTTTGTATTGTACATAGTTGAAGCCGGAGGGTAAACATAATTGTTTACTACAGGTTAGGCAAATTATAGTACCGTTTAATTGATTTTCGTCTGCTTGCCTTTGAATGGCTAATCAGTTAAACTTTAACACTTTGCATTATTCGTAACAATGCTAGAGGTACGGAGTATAATCAAGGACAATACATGGGAAACACAGTGAACACATATCTAATAATTATCAAACTTTGTTGACATATTTTTAGACAGAAGGTTTCACTTAACAAGAAGATTAGCAAGCTATCAGAAAAATCAATATGGATATAAATGCATCGTCGCACAATAAACGACGCAAAGTTATTGAACGGACAGGACAGAAATTATCCGAATCACATCGGGTTTCCGGTTTCACATTTTTCGGGAAGACGCGAATTCATGTTGACGCGAAATAATTATTTTGGACATTTTGCCTCAAATTCGCGAAATAAGGTTCTCGCGAAAAATAAATGTTTTACAATACTTAAGATTTCAATTTTGTTCATTTTTGGGGGTTTGTAATAAAATCAATTCAAGACTTTAAATATCATATGGCTATTTCTAGCATTACTAATGAAGGAATACATCAAGTGTCCTCTAGTGTCTTATTTCAGGCACAAGTGGTCGTGTAAAAAAAACCATGATCTTCCATCAGGTAGCTGGTTAACTTTCTCATATGAAAGAACTTAAAAGTCCCTGGCATGATTCAAACTAACAAATTGTTTGACATCATCAAAAATAGTCCAGCTAAAAAAATGAACAAATTATATTTGAATAAAGAACCTGCCTTATAATTGATCAGAGTATAAGGTGAATACAAAATGCCGACATAGGCAAAGAAACTAATGTTAAAGGGTGTAAGGCAATAATTGGTGAAATACACTATAAATATTTTGAGAAATATAAATGTCAAAAATTATAATAATGCTATGAACATTTCCTAATACCTTAATATAAAGTTCACAGAATAAAAGAAGTTTCCTTACAACTGGAATAAATCCACTGCTATGTTAAAAAGTGTAAAGACATAACTATGTTCTGTATTAATGCCATACAGTTTCACAAAACTTTACAAATATTATTCCTTCATATCTAATACTTCAATAAAACTCCTGTAAAGATACATGTATAAACAATTACACTTACAATTTCATACAGCCGAGATATGACTTTTTATAATTTTACTTACATTTTTAATGGGACAAGATTTACATGCCAGTATGTAGCCTTCTACCAGATGAACACAATAATCGACCGACGAGCCGACCAATATTGATAAAGAAATAGCTTCCACACCGCCAATCTCCCAGCCAAGGACATAAAATATCCCCACTACCAAACATACCATTTCTATAATGAAAAGACAAAATGAGCCGCGTCAAGACAAAACCAACATAATGGGTTTTCGACCAGCATGGATCCAGACCAGCCTTCGCATCTGCGCAGTCTGATCAGGATCCATGCTGTTTGCTATCATTTTCTCTACTTGTTATAGGGTTTGTAAGCGAACAGCATGTATCCTGATCAGACTGCATGGATATGCAGGCTGGTCTGGATCCATGCTGGTCGCCAACCCATTTTGTTGGTTTTGTCATGACGCGGCTCAAATACAGTTATTTGGCACTTATATCAAAACTAAGTTGAATAACCTAATTTATACATCATTAAGGCTAATCACAACAAAAGAATGATCATTATAAAAAAAAATTTTTTTGCATGATTTAAACCACAATAATACTGTCTTTAGACGTAGATTCAAGATAAGTCACATGAACGAATTGCAAAATTTCGACACGAGATAATGCATATTCCAAAGGGGAGCCTGGGTGTCAACATTTTTCAAGTATTCCAAAGTGTGTCATGAGTCAAAATTTTGCTGATTTTCACTAGTTTTTGTATGGTTTTATAATTGTCTATAAAGGCCACGATCAGCCTTTCCCTTGTATGGCCTTGACCACAGGTTTGACTGTATATGCATTTTATATAAATAAATGTAAATATTAAGAAAACGTGGAAGGGATGAAGAAAACACATTAGGACCACCAGAGTAGGTTTAAGCTACCATACTTTATCTATCAACCAGATTCGGTCAAACAATGACCTTCATCTGGAAAATACCCCAACAAAAATGTAAATATTGTACAAAATTTACCTGTTATACTAATAAAGATGACCAGAAGTAATATAATATGTCTAGTAAACAGCATCACTGCTACCATACATATAACCATCGACAAAACTACCCCATAGATGGCGCTGTTCACAGCAACAATCTCCATCAATACCTGTAACATTAACATGGCAACATTATCAGTTAACAGGTTTATCTGACATTCTGACATTTACAGTATTATAGACATTTTTCATCTGACATTCTGAAGTGAAGAAATCTTTAATCTGACAGTCTTTATTAAATTAATATACATGTTTATTAGCTGTAAGTTATAATAGAGCTATAATGATTATGCAGATATTCGGTTATTGGCAAATCAGACCTTGACAATACGGATCATGTAATCTCTAGTTCTATGATCACTAAATCAGTGATCACACCTAGATCTATATAATTTTATATATAATTTTTTTTGTTGAGTTCAATGTCGCGCCAAGACATTATAGGTCATATGGCAACTTTTCAGCTTTACTGGTGGGGGAAGTGTTTTTTTAAAGCAGAGCGTTATTTCAGAGTTGATTTTAATCAAGACAGCAAACAATACCAATAAAACAAAGGAATAATATTCTACTCAGAACAATTCCAAAATTTAATCGAGCAAAAAATGAATAATCTGTGACAGACCTCTGGCCAGAATTCTGATGTTTGGAACATATCAACTAAAGGACTGTTGGGGTCCAGCCCCTTTTTCACTTCATCTAAATAGTCCTCCCACTGCTGGTACTCTTTGTAAGCCTCAAAGTAAGATTTACTCTTTGATGTTTTCTGTAGAAAAAAATTCACAGAGTACAGTAAATGTACATTGGATTAGCCATGTCAAATTAATATACATGCACAATAAAATATGTCAACAAAAACTAAATCTGAAAAACAGTGAAATCATTCGTCATCAAATTGTTTCTTCCATGACAAATATAACATTTTCCTAGTTTATCTGTTGAAACGTCTTAAAGAAGGTCACCCTTGAATTATTTCAGTTCACTGCTGTTTACTGTGTCAAACCACAGAGTCAAACCACTGACCTGTAAGCTAGCTTGATAGCTTCCCTTTTATGATGCTCACGTAAGGTCCTTTGCAGGATTAGAATAATCAGTGGTGAGAGGCAAGTGATGCCAAATTTAGAAACTCCCACCCTGAACAACTTGGTCATTGAGGGCCATACAGTTTAATCCATTACATGGGAAACAAGAGCACCGCTAGGCGGAGCAGTATATGCCCGAAAGTGATTTTTTTTAGTAAGCATAAAGCATTATGGGAAATAAATAAAGTATGACCTCCTTCAAAAATCAATCCTCCTTTAAAGCTGAAGAACTTTGTAAGTAAAAGTGACGGATGGACAGAAAAACACCAGGGCTATAACATTAGCACATTTTTTAGGGCATATAATTAATATACTTAATATAAATGATCATGAAGTTAGACAGTTGTAAAAGGGGTCATGTTTTTGACTTTGCTGTTTATCATATAAAATGTTACAGCTGTAGGTTGATTAATACTTAAGTTATACAGGGGAAACTGTTTTTAGTTTTAAGGTAATACAATGTAAAAATGACCTTGACCTTGTGACCCCAAAATCATTAGGGGTCTTCTACCAAATATGGACAATAATCCTATGAAGTTTGAATATTGTGGGCCAAATGGAAATTAAGTTATGCTCCAGAAACTGTTTTCAGTTTTAAGGTAATAGTAACCTTGACACTGTTTGATTACATCTTAATAATGAAAGTGCATATTGTATTCATGATTAAAACAGCACTTTTTTTAGTATAACACATTCATTTTTAGTATATTTTGGCTAATAGCGAGCTCGACGAGCTGGCCCGAAGGGCCTGCTCGCAAAGCGAGCTTTACGGTAACGCGAGTACCTGCTAAGTGATGGTTTTGAAAACTTTCGTCCAAAGTATCGAATTGGACACATCGCAACCTTTCGAATTTAAAGCTAACGATCAAAACTGAGGAATTCTGACTGAAAACGGATGTGTAGACTGGTCACCCGCGCACGTCTATGGGAACCATAATTGGACAGGGAACCAGAATAACGGAAGCTGTGTATAAAAAAATGAAAATCGAAGGCGCCATTTTGTTTGAAATCTGATAAATAAAAACAATTTTTTGTCGAATTTTGTTGTGAAAACTATCTAGAATGAAAGAAAATGGTCTAACTAAGAAAATGAATCCGAACACCAATATCTTTTATTCAGTCGTTAACGCTGTACAGACGTTTAAAGTATTGTTTACGTATCGTCACAATGTAGCGCCAAACAGCACGTGCAAAACAAACAAATCATGTACGCTATTTTAATGTCGCAAACGTTTTAAGTTTTACATTTATTTCACTTTAAATAATCTTTATTTCGCTTGAAAAATTATAGAGTGAAATAAAATAAACAAAGTTTTATCAACGTTTTCAAAACTCGTTATTCATTACACGACAGGAGTGGAGCCATATTTAACACAGTACGTAGTACGTGTGACGTCACACGCACTCGTCACTGCATTTGAAATAAAAATGAGCGATTATTTCATACTATTTCACGTAAAAAGTACATCGAGCTCGCTTTGAGGCTTTGCCTTTTTCATATTATTTGGGTATTTCTTGCTACCCAAATATGGTGTGGCCAACTGGCTGTGCTCTGCCTTGACAATAGTTCATGTATGTAATACTTTTGTTTATTTTATATTGATTTACCTTTGGCTTTTAGCATGGTTGTGAGCAATAAGGTTAAACAAATTGCCCAAGGAAGCAACCAGACCTGTGAACTTTCATGTTTCTTAGCACGGGCCAATCAAGCAAACTTGTGGTCGATTTGTGACTGTCTAAATTCTTATAACATTTTCCAAACAAAACCGCCATAGTAACCATAAAATAAATGTTAAATCTTATAAATGTCAAACTTGGCCTCCCAAAACACATGTAAATCGAAAAATCATCAACATTCAAGATGCGGAAGTCAATATACTGTGCTAAGACCGCCATTTTGGTTGTTTGATTTACCTCCCCTTTTCCAGACTAATTCCCGTACCTTCCCGGACTTTTTTATGTATCAACACTAATTCCCGGACTTTTCAAGGCCGGGAGCTCCTGTTTTCAAATTCACGGACATTTCCCGTTTTCCCGGACAGCGTGGGAACCCTGTGTGTAATTATGCTAATAAACGTAATCACACTTACTGATTCAAAAGCAAATGCCAGCCATAATATAGCCGTCCCATCAGTGGTTAGTGCACCTAGAGCATGAGCAGGTTGCTGACTGTTATAGATATAGCCCACTTTTGGTAAATCTCGACATTCTTGTACGTTGCTCAGTAACAAGGCCTTTAATGTGAACGGTAATGAATCTGAAATATAAATTGCATACTCTTTTTATTATATTATGACAGTAAGTTATGCAGAAGAAGAAATAAGTTACATTATTTGATGACATACGAATAAACATGAAAATACAGCCAAAATGAAATAATTATGACCCATCATGCTAGCATAATATAGATCTCCGATGGTTTAATTCTCCAATAAATCCTGTAAATAAATTACAGAATGTTCCAATGAAAAGCATGTCCCCACGGACATCATGGTAATCTGAATATGTACCAATAATATAAACGTTTCTATGGTTTTTGACCTATGATTCGTACTAAATGATACAATAGTTATTATCAGTAAAAAAAACTTTTTGAATTCCATATAAGTTCATCTTAGTACTATAATTTTTTCGAAAATCCAAAAAATTTTAGTACCATGATACCCAGGGCAACAACCTATATAATAAAGTAAAAATACTGCACATTTTTTTTGGTGGATAACAATTTTGATAGAATGATCTAGCTTTATTGGGGGGGATGGTCATTTAATATTTAACAGAATCAATCTGCAGCATATCAAATTAAACTCCTATGTAAACAAATAGATGTATAACATAATAATAAAATTACCCATAGGTAAACACTGGGCACTGCCATTTCTGACTAGACGATCATTTCCAGCTATCTTCTTACACAGTTTACACAACTGTCTCATTCCCTCTAATATACCGCTATGACTGAAGTTAAATAATGATGAAAACCTGTCGTCAAACTTCAACTTGCCCTGAAAGTACACAAATCAAAATTTAATACAAATGTAGTCTAAAAATAGCTCTGAAAACAAAATCTTAATCATTTAAAGGGACTCCACTGAGTTTTTTTGATATGACTGTACTGTAATTTTCTCGAGATACATGTTACATCTAATGACAGTCTAGACCAAAATACTTTGTGTGCAAAATGTCAGATCATTAATTTTGCTCTCTCCAATTTTCCAGAATAATTTTTTTCAATTGTGAAAATAATCCAAAATTGAAAAGTGTAATGCAACCCCTTTGAAGTTTCCATTCCACCCCTTTTTTTGATTCAATTCGGACCAATAATAGCACAAACATATGATTTGCAATTTTTTACTGAGTATACTTCTAAATATTTTTTTTTCATATCTTAAAGGGAGACACAGGCAAAATTTTCATTTCTTAATTTTAGAATTTTTCATTCATTATTCTGTAATGCCCTCAAAATAAATCTATTAGACAGTCAAAGGAACAAAACTTTTCTCCATATAAAGAATAAAATAGTGGTTTCCTAACTTGACCCGCGTGGGTCAGGTTAGAGCGCTAGCATTTCACAATAATTGTCAAAGTGAACTCTGGAAACGTTAAAGAACATGTCAAATGAATGACTTAGGCTTGTTTCAATCATACTGTATCCACAATATCTGTTATTGTAACTTCAAGGGTTTGTTCAAGTCACCTGACTTGATTTAAAACTATTTGGTGATTCTATTGGTGTCTAAATTTTATTCAACATATATAGATATATTTACCCTTCAATCCCAAAATATAAAGAATTTAAACAGAAATTCATACTGAAACTTCAACAAAAGTCATTTTTGGATGATTTAAGTACATAAGATCATTTTAATATTTTTGTCATTATTTTGCCTGAAACACCCTTTAAAGTTTTAGGTGCCTCTGTTGATCTATGTGTACAATTCAAATCTTATGTTCTAAGGCGACCGCCTCCGTGGTCGAGGGGTTAGAGTCGATGACTTCTAATCCAGTTTCCTCTCTGGCGTGGGTTCGATCCCCGGGAGATGCTTTGGTAGTTTAGCGCAGAGGAAGGTAGTCTAGTACTGGTGTAACTCTCAAGGAACGATGGTTAGGAAACTACCCGCCTATATGACTGAAATACTGTTGGAAAAAGGCGTAACATGAAACAAACAAACAAACAAACAAACAATGTTCTAAGGCATTTGGACCTCAGTTGAGTTCCTTTAACATAACTTGGAACTGTTCATACACTCACATTAAAATGATAATGAAATAAATTCAACATTTTCTTTAAAGGCATTTGATCGTTAAATCGTCAAACAATGGGCATGGTCAGCAATTTAAAAACCAATACCACTAGAACAAAACAAATGTTAATATACTAAATGATTGGCAGATGAAAATGGATTCATTCTTTAATTGTTTAGAATGACAAAAAGTGTATCATCGCTCGTTCTTGCATAAAAAACTAAGAAGAAAACATGTATAAGTAGTAAATAAAATCATAAAAGCAAGCACCATTTTTGCAAGTTTTTAATAAGCATGACTCAGGGCACCATGTAAAAAAATATAGCAGACTGCACTGACAGCCCTGGTAACTTTATTATCAAAACATAACTAGACATCAAACTTGCACAGGACACCAATTTAAACTCTTACCCCACTAAAATTATGTAATGGCCTTTCCTTGCTTTGTATATTTGACAGCTTATTATCTTTTATATTTTCAGTCAGCAGTTAAGATCCAAATCAAATGGCATGAACAAATATGTGCATAGGTTTGCCATCTTTAATGGAATATTAATTGAGCTTGATTTCAGAACTATTAGATAGGGATATCACCTAGGGTTTTGTGAGCTATATTCCCTAAGGCTATGGGCATGGTTTAATTTAAGATAAGAACCATTAGATATATCACCATTGGTTTTGTGAGCTTTACTGTGTTCTCTTAGGCAATTGCTGTGAGTTAATCTGAGATAAAAACCATTAGAAAGGGCTATCACTGTGAGTTATATGGGCTTAATTGTATTTCCAGAGGCTTTCCCTGTGAGTTAATTTAAGATAAGAACCATTAGATAGGGATATCACACAGGGTTGTTAGAGCTTTACTATATTCCTTGAGACTATTACCATGGGCCCCAATTATAAATGGTAAAACTGATGAAAATGAAAACATACCACATTACTTGACATAACATGAGCAACATCAGATGCCAACCAATGAAAGTCTTTCACTCCAAAAACAACATACACAGTTGCGCCAGACTCCAGCAACGGTCGTTCTTTAGGATGACTACAGTCTCGGTCCTTACAAACATCATAATCCTCAGGTAGAGATTTTGCTGTAACTTTGGTTTCCTGGTCTGGTTTGCTGGGATAATTTGGTTCTGGAGCTAATGTCACCCAGGGCTTTGCTATAAAAATGATTCAAAGATTTCAATGAAGTGAAATTGATGCCAAATATAAATGTATGCATATTTTTGTTCCTCTCAATTGACACAATTATTGAAAACCACAAATGAAACCTGGAAAATTCAAAAAGAATTTTCACACTAGCATGATTTTTATAGATATCCCCATCTGAAAATTGGACAGAAATGGCTTTGATGACCATCATCCTTTGAGTTAACTATCAAAAGTTTTGATTAAAGTTTCTAAAATTTTTAAGGTTATTGTACTTAAAATGGCAAAGGCATTTGGGACATTGAGTGGGCAACCTTTCACACTTGCAAAAAAAATATCTGTTATTAAAAAACACTTACCTGTGATAATATCAGGTTTTCTTGTCGTGGTGGGGCGCTTTTCTGTGGTCACATGATAGGTGGGTGGTATTTTATGGGTGGGTTTTGCTGTAGTTGATATTAAAGGAGCCTTGGTTTCGGATTTGGTTATGGGTTCCATCCAAGGGACTGTCTGGGCTGTAGATACTGGTGCTGGAGTTGTCTGTTTGATTTGTGTTTGCTGAAAAATATTAAAGGCCCATTATGCCCCAAATTGCTTTTTTATTAAAGGCCCATTATGTCCCAAATTGCTTTTTTATTAAAGGCCCATTATGCCCCAAATTGCTTTTTTTTTTATTAAAGGCCCATTATGCCCCAAATTGCTTTTTTTATTAAAGGCCCATAATGCCCCAAATTGCTTTTTTATTAAAGGCCCATTATGCCCCAAATTGCTTTTTTTATTCAAGGACCATTATGCCCCAAATTGCTTTTTTATTTCTAAAAAATCATTTGAGCCGCGTCATGACAAAAACAACATAATGGGTTTGCGACCAGCATGGATCCAGACCAGCCTGCACATCCGCACATGATCAGGATACATGCTGTTCGCTTACCAACTCTATTACAAGTAGAGAAACTAATGGCGAACAGCATGGATCCCGATCAGACTGCACGGATGCGCAGGCTGGTCTGGATCCATGCTGGTCGCAAACGCATTACGTTGGTTTTGTCATGACGCGGCTCATTTTATTTTTTGGTGTCCTGTCATAGTTTCCTGAAAAAGTAACTCATTGATTACATAGCTGATCTATCGTTTGTTTTGATTGCTTATTAGAAATTTTAACAGTTATAGTGTATGGTAGTCAAAATACTACTTTTTTTTGGTGAAATTTTATTTCATCGAGTGAGCTTTAAATACAGTATTCTATTAGTCATGTCAGCTTCTGACATTTTCAAAAGTTGTTTATTTCACACAAGATCAGTATAAAATGTGTTTGATTTTTTAGGATTTCATTTGAATTTGATAATTTTACTTTTATTTATAAGGAAGAAAACATATTTAAAAATTATTACATATTATTTTGTCACAGCCAGGTTTGATATGTGTTGTTCACTTACTTTATTGACATTATAGATGGCCGAACAGTCGTAGCATTCGACTGTGTCTATTGCACTAAATTTGGATTTCAGATCAAGCAGTCGCTGCATGTTGGTGTCCTCTCGGAAGAACTGCGGTGGTTTTGTGGATGTCTTCAGTTGAGTCATAAGCCCCACCGACACGCCAAATAAAATGAGCGATACAACTGAAATGAATGAAAATCAAAACAAAAATGAATTTCGTTAATTTTGCTGCGGTTAATTATGACAATGCACTGATAAAGTAAGGTACCTTTAACAACTCTGAAAACTATTAACTATAGAGTAGTTTTAATCAATAAGACAATTCTCAATGCCTATTATCAAAACAAGAGACTGGGTAACGTAAAATTTCTTAAATTCAAAAAGGGCCATAATTCTGTCAAAAGAGCGATCAGTGATCACATGTGTCGCTTCAAGATAGCCGTAACTTGGCCAAAATGATTCAATCTAAAAAAACTGTGTAATATGCACAGGAATTTGAACTATCAATCAATCTTGTAAAATTTCATGGAAATTGCATTAGTGGTATAACAGGAGTAGTCCAGACAAATTTAAAAATTAAAATCATTAAAGGGCGAAAACTTTGACAAAAATCAATGAACTAAAAATGTTGATGAGATGCACATCTAAACATGGTATTAATCATTCTCCTTCATTGATGAAATTGCACCAGTAGGTTACTGAGGAGTAGTCCAGTCAAACTTCTGTGTAGCTGGCAACACAAGGGCAATAACTCGAACAAAATTCATTAAAGCAAAAAAGTGTATATTATGAACAAGTACTTGACCTCCTAATCAATCCTGTAAAGTTTCATTGAAATTATATTAGTGGTATAAGAGGAGAAGTCCAGACAAGCTTTATGAATATGAACTTTTCATTCAAGGGCCATAACTGGGCCAAAAATAATTCAAGTGGAAAACCTGTGTAATATGCCACTTCACCACTTGTCAAATAATAAAATGTTATACAGTTACAAAATGCACATTATAATACCTTACCTAAAATGATATATCTGACTCTAATGATCGGTTTGGCCATGCCGTGGTAAAGTAAAGCTTGTAGTTTATTCCCCGTCTGTTCTTCTGTCTTTCCTGCTCTATTATCTCTGAGTACTACCAGAGGATCTGGATCCACATGTACCAACTGTTCATCTTCAGTGCCGTCTGCAGCAGAAAATAAGCTGTTAATAAACAACTGTTTTTTTACACTGATTTTAACACATTGTTTTGACTTTACAGTCAAACTTGTTATTAAGCAACTGCTCAAGAGACAAGGGATTGGGGAGAATTTAAACTAGTTGCTACAGATAAAAGTCACTTAATGCAAACAATTGCATGAGCAAGATTGTATGTTGGTGGGTTGATCCAACAAACCGGTTTGCCTAGAAGACAAACCAGTAATTACAAATTCATGCAAGTATTTTACTTCTAACTCACATGATTTCTGAATCATTCTGATTCAGCGTAAAGAATGAAATGAGCCCAGCAAGACAAAACCAACATAATGGGTTTGCGACCAGCATGGATCCAGACAAGCCTGCGCATCCGCTCAGTCTGATTAGAATCCATGCTGTTAGTTTACAAACCCTATTACAAGTAGAGAAACTGATAGCGAACAGCATGGATCCTGATCAGACTACCCAGATGCGCAGGCTGGTCTGGATTCACGCTGGTCGCAAACGCACTATATTGGTTTTGTCATGGCACGGCTCAAATAATCGTAAAACTCAGTGTCCGAAATCAATGGTAATGGAGAAATTACGCCTTGCGGAGGATGGAACAAGCCACCACTGGATAACTTATTCTTAGGCTTCCCTATTGTACTATGAGGGCAGACTGAAGAAGAAATTTCATGATGAAAATCTGATATCCACCTGCCTTTGCATTTCCAAATTGTAAATTTCTAAATTTTATTTTTATAATAATTATTTGTTCAATTTGCTTTTCTAATGTGAAATACAACTGTAATAGAAAGAGCATCCAAACACAAGGCTATCTGATTTGTATGAGAAAAATGTAGTCAATCAATGAGCAAGCCCTATTTTGATCCCAGAAAGACAGTGCTGTAACTTGAGTGCCGGTAACTTATACCTGCACTCCAGTTAACACACTATGCATGTATGGGTATATGATTTAACTCTTACACAGTTCCAATACGAAGTTTGCCAAACTATGATACAAATTATGTTTAGAGGACATTTTTGATACAGTGCTTTGATTTGTTTCAAAAATATTTACAGACGGTTGAAAAAAAGCAAACATTTAAATTGGTGATCTATTCAACTTTCTCAAAGTATACCAGCAAGCCAAAATTGCTGACCATAACTGACCAAATACAATCCACTTTAAAAGAATATAAGTCACTGATCAATATACAGACACCCTGTTGGTCAGACCCTATCTATCCCCGGCTGGAACCGCCCCTGTGAAAGGTCAATTTAAAACCTTAATTAATCATATATATTGTTTTTAAACCATTTCCACAAGAGCAAAAAAAAATCCAATGAACCGTCAAGTCTCGAAAATATTTGAGACCTATTATCTATTTACTAGAGTGGTTCAAACCATGGGGATAGGGCCTGACATCCAAAATCAATATACTTTTGCAGTAAGCCTAAAATCATATTTGTGTCAAAGACATATCATGAAACTTTCACATGTAATTTTGTGACCATACCAACATAAAACGGAGAATCTTCCATTGTAAGCATGGGTACATCATCATCATCTTCATCATCAACAGTGGTCTCCCTTGGTATGGACACCTGGTTGCTATGGTTATTGTCCATAAAGTGGGCCACATCAGAAGGCAAGGTCAATTTACTGCACATGCTTGATGGCAGACAGCAGCAACTGCAATGAAAAATATTGAAGTTACCATGACTTAACTGTGATATATATATAATCTCATGAGGAAATATGGTTGGTAACTCCAGCACAGCTCATACCCATAATCCATTGGTTAAGAAGCAGATATCTTTACCTTAATGCCATTCGTCCCTCATAATTTGTCTTAATTTCATTGACGAAAATAGAACTGTGAAACAGATTATTTATGCCACCAACGCCATAGTGACACACTATTATACAAACACATCTTAATATATATGATGAATTTTTGAAATAATTGATTACATTCTCTCATACAACTTGGGGCAAACATTTCAAAGTGAGTTAAAGATACCTTTGGAGACAGTAAAATCTTGCAATGAGAAATCAATTACTTACATGACTCGAGCAATGGCTGCCTCACATTTACGGAAGGAGATGTACCATATATACAAGACAGGTGGCATTATCAGCATCACTGTGATCCAACAGTTAGCAACTATCAGTGACATAAACAAGCCAAAGTCATGTACAGCAGGTATCTTAAATATAAAACCATTTAACATTAGCTTTAAACCATACAAGATTTACACAAACCATATAAAATGAATGCAAACCATACAAAATTAATCCAAAATTTTCAAAATTATTGCAAATCTTACAAAATTATCCAAAATCATATAAAATTAACCCAAACCTTTCAAAATTATCGAAAATCATACAAAATTATCATAAATGATACAAAATTAACCAACACTTTTAAAAATTATTGCAAATCATACACAATTATCCCAAAATTTTCAAAATTATTGCAATCATACAAAATTATCCCAAATCATACCAAATTAACCAAAACCTTTCAAAATTATTACAAATCATACTAAATTATCCCAAATCATACAAAATTAACCCAAAGCATTCAAAATCATTGGAAATCATACAAAATTATCCCAAATCTTACAAAATTTACCTAAACCTTTCAAAATTATTGCAAATCATACAAAATTATCTCAAATCATACAAAATTAAGTATAAAGATTCAAAATTATTGAAATTCATACAAAATTATCCAAAATCATACAAAATTTACCCAAACCTTCCAAAATTATTGCAAATCATACAAAATATAGCTCAACAGTCTGACTAGTTTCTTTATTTTGGTTACATGGTACAGGCACCAAATGAGTAGGCTCTAGACTTGATCCCATAACATATAATACAAGAACTGTCGGAGGACAGTAACGCTCGACTATTCGAAAATTTGTCACAAGGGTGTTTCATTGAGTATAATAATGCTTACCTATATGAATACATAAAATTGTCCGAAAAGGTACAAACTCTTCAAGTTTCAATACATTCCCTTCAGTAGTTATGGAGAGACAAGCTTACATGCAAAAACTTTACCAAGAATTCATGAGTCGAAAAAGGGGCATAATTATGCAAAAAAAGCAAATCAGAGTTATGGGACTTGTACCAATCATCTTAGATAATCACAGAGACCAAGTGTGTGAAGTTTCAATCCAATCCCTTCAGTAGTTATGGAGATACCAGCTTACATGCAAAAACTTAAGCAAGAATTTCTAAGTCGAAAAAGGGGCATAATTATGTTAAAAAGCAAATCAGAGTTATGGGACTTGTGCCAATCATCTTAGATAATCACAGAGAACAAGTGTGTGAAGTTTCAATCCATTCCCTTCAGTAGTTATGGAGATACCAGCTTACATGCAAAAACTTAACCAAGAATTTCTAAGTCGAAAAAGGGGCATAATTATGTAAAAAAGCAAATCAGAGTTATGGGACTTGTGGCAATTATCTTAGATAATCACAGGGAACAAGTGTGTGAAGTTTCAATCCATTCCCTTCAGTAGTTATGGAGATACCAGCTTACACGCAAAAACTTAACCAAGAATTTCTAAGTCGAAAAAGGGGCATAATTATGTAAAAAAGCAAATCAGAGTTATGGGACTTGTGCCAATCATCTTAGATAATCACAGAGAACAAGTGTGTGAAGTTTCAATCAATTCCCTTCAGTAGTTATGGAGATAACAGCTTACATACAAAAACTTAACCAAGAATTTCTAAGCATAATTATCGAACAAGAGGGCCATGATGGCCCAAAGTCGCTCACCTGTATATAGGCCCCTGGAGCGGGGCCAGTTTAAACCCCAGGGCTTTTATTTGAACAAACTTGGTTGTATATGTATGCATGTATGTGTATATATATATATATATATATATATATATATATATATATATATATACATATACATACATACATATATATATATATATATATATATATATATATATATATATATATATATATATATATACATAATATGTATATATATATCTATATATATATATATATATATATATATATACACATTATATATATATATTATATATATATATATATATATATATATATATATATATATATATATATATATATATATATATATATATATATATATATATATATAATATATATATATATATATATATATATTAAATATATATGTATATATATAATATGTATATATCGAAAAAAAAAAAAGTCAAGCTAATGAATGACCCCCGGGGCGGGGCCAATTTTGACCCCAGGGCTTTTATTTGAACAAACTTGGTAGACACCCATGAGAACATGTTTCATGCTAAATATCTTAGCTCTAGCTCTTTGAGTTCTTTAAAAGAAGATTTTTTAAGTTTTTACTATATGCACATAGGGAAAATCAATGACCCCCGGGGGGCGGGGCCAATTTTGACCCTAGGGCTTTTATTTGAACAAACTTTGTAGACACTCATTAGAACATGTTTCATGCTAAATATCTTAGCTCTAGCTCTTTGGGTTCTTTAAAAGAAGATTTTTTAAGTTTTAACTATATGCATATAGGGAAAATCAAAGACACCCTGGGGCGGGGCCAATTTTGACCCTAGGGCTTTTATTTGAACAAACTTGGTAGACACTCACTAGAAGATGTTTCATGCTTTATATCTAAACACTAGCTATCTGGGTTTTTTCAAAGAAGATTTTTAAGTTTTTGCTATACACAGTCATATAAGGAAAATCAATGACCCCCGGGGCGGGGCCAATTTTGACCCTAGGGCTTTGATTTGAACAAACTTTGTAAACACTCACTAGAAGATGTTTCATGCTTAATAGCTAAACTCCAGCTATTTGGGTTTTTTTAAAGAGATTTTTTTAAGTTTTTGCTATACACATATAAGGAAAATCAATGACCCCCGGGGCGGAGCCAATTTTGACCCCAGGGCTTTTATTTGAACAAACTTGGTAGACACCCATGAGAACATGTTTCATGCTAAATATCTTAGCTCTAGCTCTTTGAGTTCTTTAAAAGAAGATTTTTTAAGTTTTTACTATATGCACATAGGGAAAATCAATGACCCCCGGGGCGGGGCCAATTTTGACCCCAGGGCTTTTATTTGAACAAACTTGGTAGACACCCATTAGAACATGTTTCATGCCAAATATCTAAGCTCTAGCTCTTACGGTTTTTTAGAAGAAGATTTTTTAAGTTTTTCTTATTGGTTGCCATGGCAACCAGAGTTTTTAATGGAATTTAAATTTTTGAACAACTTTGAAAGGGGTCCACCTAAGGATCATTTCTGTAAAGTTTGGTTGCAATTGGCCATGTAGTTTAGGAGGAGATGTTGTTTGAAAAGTTTGACGCCATTTTTTGAAGGACGCACGACGCACGACGCACGACGCACGACGCACGACGGACGCAGAGTGATGACAAAAGCTCACCTTTGAGCACTTCGTGCTCAGGTGAGCTAAAAAGGGGCATTATTATGAAAAAAAGCAAATCAGAGTTATGGGACTTGTGCCAATCATCTTAGATAATCACAGAGAACAAATGTGTGAAGTTTCAATCCATTCCCTTCAGTAGTTATGGAGATACCAGCTTACATACAAAAACTTAACCAAGAATTTCTAAGTCGAAAAAGGGGCATAATTATGTTAAAAAGCAAATCAGAGTTATGGGACTTGTGCCAATCATCTTAGATAATCACAGAGAACAAGTGTTTGAAGTTTCAATCCATTCCCTTCAGTAGTTATGGAGATACCAGCTTACATACAAAAACTTAACCAAGAATTTCTAAGTCGAAAAAGGGGCATAATTATGAAAAAAAGCAAATCAGAGTTATGGGACTTGTGCCAATCATCTTAGATAATCACAGAGAACAAGTGTGTGAAGTTTCAATCCATTCCCTTCAGTAGTTATGGAGATACCAGCTTACATACAAAAACTTAACCACAGGGACGCCGACGCCGACAAATGGGTGACTGCATTAGCTCGATTATTCTGCGAATAGTCGAGCTAAAAATATTAAAAATTATGGCAGAAAATAAAACATCTTTAGTTTTCAGTTTTCCATCCCAGGCAGATCACAAAAAAGGTCAAATGGTAAAGGAACCAACTGAGCATGCTTGCAGGATTCAAACATTAAATTCCAATTTAATCTTAAACTTGTAAAAGAAAAGTCCGTAACTAAAATGACACTCTTGACAAAAATATGAGCCACAAGCTTTTTTAAAATATAGAAGGCCAGGTTCGTACCATCGAGGCAATGTTAGCAGCAAATGCAGCAGCTGTTGTAGATGAAGTAAAGAACGTGGCTATTCCCGCTGTTTTAATGGTGTACCAAGTTCTCTGCCTTGGATCAGTCACATGGTCAGCCTGTCTGAATATGTTGATAAATACAAACACATCGTCCACACCTGTAATATTTAATAGAAAATCCGTAAAAAATCTTGACTATACAATTCAAACAATTTTATTTTAACATAATTAATTTTCAGTTTTAACAGTTGGTTTTCTCCTTAAGAAAAAAAGAAACGATTAAAGGAAACTGATATCTTCTGTAATTATTTTTCCCCTGACAAGAACCACTGACCTTACACAGCTAGCTGGATAGTTTCCTCATTAAAATGTACAGACTTGAATATCAAGCAAGAAGATAATGGTTTACCATGGTAATGAGGCAGTGCTGAGTTTCCCAGTTAGCAGAGAGCTAAAATAATATTTCTATCTGTGACGACAGCCAATATTGGATTCTTTTTTTGGAATATGCCATATAAATCATAATGTGGAAAAAATATTTTCATTTAGCATTTCTTTCTTATATAGTGTATGAATTAACAACTTCATAACAACTAAATGATGTCATCTTTAGCAAGCATTTCATTCATAAAAGGTGCGCAGAAACAACGTCAATAAAAGCATGCAACTTCTTTTACAGAAGAAAATCCACATGTGATATGCAAGAAAACCTATATATATATATTTCCATTCTTATATATCCTTTACCAAATTTCTTCTAAACACTACTCACCTATTCCAATAATAACAAAAGCCGCAGCACCATTCAGAATTCCTAGTCCTACAATTTTGAACACAACACGGTAAAAAAATATCGCAAGTGGCGCGCTAAGCAGTATACTGACTAAACCCCAGAACGTCAGCCATATTGACCCTGACGTCAGAATCAGCATCAATAAGAAAATAGCGACAAATGCGTAGATGGCTAGCTTAACATCGTTCCAAAACGTCTGCTCTACCTCGTAGTCAAATATTTCCTGACCGCCATACAGCACCGACACATCCCTGAAACAGATATTTGTAAGTTAACAAAAAACCAAACCATACTGTAACCTTAGTGCAGTAATGAGTTAACACCTATTGAATTATATATGGAGTTAACATATGACTGCACTAAGGTGATGATACACTACAGTATCATCCCTATCTCTTGTAGTGTCATTTTACAAAGGGTATCAAGCTCTATCAATATTTCTCTATTGAAGTTAAATATGAGCCGCGTCACGACAAAACCAACATAATGGGTTTGCGACCAGCATGGATCCAGACCAGCTTGCGCATCCGTGCAGTCTGATCAGGATCCATGCAGTTCGCTTACCAACCAGGCTGGTCTGGATCCATGCTGGTCGCAAAACCATTATGTTGGTTTTGTCATGACGCGGCTCATATATTCCTTTTGAAACATCTTGGTGTTATAATTTTCTGATCATTAATTTCAATACTTTTAGCTTAAAGTGAATTGATCTACAACTGATGGTCTGCAGTAATTAAGGTAATAATTACCTTGATAGTATTTAGTATCATACATAGCACTAAACCATGAAAAAATAACATGTGAATGTTGTTGGCAAGTGAGATATTATGTACATGATCAGATATTATATAAATCTTTGTAGCAGATGATAAAATGTTCTAGACAAAAATATTATTATTTATCATATAAATGTTTATACTAAATCACCTAGAATCTTCATATCATCACTTTTTTACAACAAATATTGAATTAGAATATTCAAATGATATATATCTATTATTTTAATCAATATTTGAAATATTTATAGAGAATGTTCTTATTATAGACCAATCCACTTTAAAGGACTGAAGTTAATAAGTTATATAGAAGCTGAACAAGTCCAATTAAGAAAACTAGAACTCTGCGAGTCGGATGTGTCCTTGTGAACACAGTATAGCTGTCACTTAGGCTTTTCTTCTTAAATATAGGATATCTAAAAATTCAAAAAAAACTCATAAATTAAGAAGCACAGAGTGAAGACTCTTGTGCATCGCACTTTAGGTCATTGAAAGGAGGACACAATTACCAAGTTTGGAGTCAATCGGACTTAAAGTGACTGGGTTATGCTCCAGACAAGCCTTAGGGGACGCCAACACGGCCAACGCCGCCAACAAAAGTAAACCCTATATGCCGTCTTTTTCAAGGCGACACAATACGAAGGTATAGAGCTAAGCTTTATTTCAGGCCTAAGTTTGCTTACTGATTGAATGGAATGTTACATCATCAAGCTGGATATGAGCCACTTCATGACAAAACCAACTTAATGCGTTTGCAACCAGCATGGATCCAGACCAGCCTGCCCATCCACGCAGTCTGATCAGGATCCATGCTGTTAGCTATCAGTTTCTCTAGGGTTTGTAAGTGAACATCATGGATCCTGATCAGACTGCGCAGATGCACAGGCTGGTCTGGATCCATGCTGGTCGCCAAGACGCAAACCCATTATGTTGGTTTAGTCATGACGCGGCTCATATGTTTTCTCACATGAAAGAATTCTACCTAACATTTGAAAACTGAAACCTTCAGTTATATAATGTTGGACAACAGATTTGAATCAAGCAATTAAAACCCTCAAGTATCACTGAAATCACCCAGCTTAGCATACTAAGAAAGAACACTGGATTTAATCCTCGGGCCAGGTAAATTTTCTCTATGTGACAACTGATCTCTGACATTGAGAACTGATCTCGGACATTTAGTATAATTGTGATCTCATAACCAAAGTGCAGTAAAGGATTAAGTCCTTCTAAATTTAATAGGATTTATTAACCAGTTACTACAGTAAGGTCACGATCTGTCTTATCAGATAAGTAGTCAGTTACTTGCTGAGAAATTGGCAATACTACTAGTAACTGGTTAGTTATCCAGAACAGCCCGGAGTTAGGTGGTCAGACCAATGAGATATGATTCACATTTGAGTTGAAATAAAAAAATTAGCCGCGTCATGACAAAACCAACATAGTGGGTTTGTGACCAGCATGGATCCAGACCAGCCTGCGCAGTCTGATCAGGATCCATGCTGTTCGCTTACTAACTCTATTTCAAGTTGAGAAACTGACAGCGAACAGCACGGATCCTGATCAGACTGTGCGGATGCGCAGGCTGGTCTGGATCCATGCTGGTTGCAAACCCAATATGTTGGTTTTGTCTTGACTTGGCTCAAATACTCAACTCTTAAAATGCATTTTTCAGTGTCTTGTTGTATTTTAATAAATTACCGAGGCCTATTTATTGATGATATAAATACACAGTGAAACTGTTTACATTATTGATAGTCAACATCTGCTGTCCCTGTCAACACACTAACAATGTTTTTTTATTTATTAACACTTTACAGTAACCTCCTTAATAATAAGGTCAAAATCTAGGTCATTAATTACGATGGAATAAGGATAATTATTAAATCTATGACATTTCTGGCAATTAAATTTACCATAAAAATGTTCATATAATATTTATATACTATATTTATCTTGTGTATTATAAACAAAATGTACACCAGTTACTGTAGCCTAGGTATATATATATATATATATATATATATATATATATATATATATATATAAAAAAAACACAAATATCAGCTTTCATCACCTACCAATATATATATATATATATTGGTAGGTGATGAAAGCTAGCCCTTGGGGCAAAAATGATATTGTCATGGTTTTGTTTATGGTTTGTTTACTGTTTTGCTAAAAAGCTTTGATATGAAATCTGTCATCTTAAATCGCAATATAAAAAGTACTTACATAAAATATTTATGAAAATAAATATTTTCTTTTAAGTGGAAAAAAATAAAACACAAATATCTTTCTATCTTCATATTAAAGGAGTGTTGAGGTTAATTTTGGATGGGTAAAATTATTATTAAATTAATAACTTTAAATTGTTCATTTTGATGTTCTTGTTTTTTAAATTTAAAACTATAAAATATCCAATTTTAATCAATAAGTAAAATTTCAAATTCATGTTACACAAATCTACAGTTATGTACATTTAGAGTTATTCTTACAGTTACTCATGCAGTTATGTTTTGCTAACTAAATTCAAATATTCAAAATTTCATTATGATATCTTGCATATGATAAAAAAAGATATATTTTAAGTGTGAAATTTGTCATAAATGAACTGGTTTCAGTCCTGTCAATGTGCAAGCATTCCATATTGATTGTACATATCAGAGATATAGACAACATTGTTATCTACATCTCCGTAAAAACACGCAATTTCCAACATTTTTAATTGCTATATATTTGTTTGTTTGTTTGTTTCATTTTACGCATTTTCCCAACAGTATTTCAGTCATATAGGCAGGTAGTTTCCTAACCATCGTTCCTGGAGAGTTACACCAGTACTAGACTACCTTCCTCCGTGCTAAACTACCAAAGCATCTCCCAGGGATCGAGAGCAAGAGAGGTAACTGGATTAGAAGTCACTGACTCTAACCCCTCGACCACAGAGGCGGTCTATAAATTTAAAGATATTTAGAAAAGGAAAACTGTTCTGAAGCACTATGAGATGAAATCATTTATTTATTTAAATAATTAGATAAAAACAATGGTATGGCGCAGCTACTTTAAATGAATCATTCAAAACAGTGACCAGTCCCATTTTCTCTACAAAAAAAAAACAAACAAAACAAATGAGCCGCGTCACAACAAAACAAACATAGTGCGTTTGCGACCAGCATGGATCCAGACCAGCCTGCTCAGGATAAGGATCCATGCTGTTCGCTATCAGTTTCTCACCTTGTAAAAGGGTTGGTAAGCGAACAGCATGGATCCTGATCAGACTGCATGGATGCGCAGGCTGGTCTCGATCCATGCTGGTCGCAAACGCACTATGTTGGTTTTGTCATGACGCGGCTCAAATGATCTTTGAGAGCATCGTTTGCCACAGTGGATTAACAACATTACTGATGATCACTGTACTATGTCTTGAAAGCCTATAAACTCATTGTGTACATTGTGATTACTAAAACAATTGTTAATTTTGATCTCTGTACTTTTCTTGGTAGCCTATAATTTATATTCTAGCTTGTTCCTGTCTAGCAAAAACAGGAAGTAGACTTGTTAAGACATTTATCCATTGTATCACATCAACTTTAAAAAAAAATATAAGGCCTTGCGAGCGTTTCACTAACATTCTGTAAGTTTAGCTTATCCTTTTACATAAATTTGGACTTAGGGAATACGTAAATTTACGTAAGTTGCGTTTCACTAAACAGAATGTGCAATTTATACCAGCAATAAGTGAGCGTAACTTTAGGTTTTAACCTACGCAAATACGTAGCTAAGAAAGTTTAATGACACGCAAATAAACCGTTAGTTCTGCTTACGCAAAAAGATACGTTCAAACTCGAGTTATGAACACGTAAGTATGTTAGTGAAACGCACCACTGGAAACACCAGGATATTGGTAATTGTATCATATTTGAGCCGCGTCACGACAAAACCAACATAATGGGTTTGCGACCAGCATGGATCCAGACCAGCCTGCGCATCCGCGCAGTCTGATCAGGATCCATGCTGTTCGCTTACAAACCCTATAACAAGTAGAGAAGCTGATAGCGAACAGCATGGATCCTGATCAGACTGTGCGGATGCGCAGGCTGGTCTGGATCCATGCTGGTCGCAAACGCATTATGTTGGTTTTGTCATGACACGGCTCATTTAATGATCTTACTTTGTTGAGGATTTAGACAGGATGTCGATATACGTGATGACAAAATCTTTAAACTTTTGACTTTGTTCACTTCTTTTTGTGTAGGGTGTTCCATATCCTGAAATGTAAAAAAAAAAACACTCGTATTTTTACACTTAATACTGGAAGTTTAAGTAATCAAAATAAGAGGAACATGAAGAATTACAATGCATCATAATATATTTTAGTTATTTTTAATCCATAACATGCTCTATTCCTTAATTGGATTAGACTTTGACTTTTGGTGTTCTTTTTTTGTTTCAAAAAAGTTACTTATTGGCCATATTTTGCTTAAAACTGTTGCATTTTCGGCAATTTTGCTTCTGTTGTATTTTTGGCAATTAGTACAGATATAATTATTTAGTAATATGAATTGAAGCCAAAATACTACATTATTAAACTTTTGCTACTTTTATGACAAAAAAAAACACTTCATAGTCAGTGATTCTTTCTTTACAATGTAGGTACAAAAAATGTAAGAAACATCTAACTTGCCCCAAACCAATAATATAAACATTATAACACTTCTGTTTGCCCTCGCTAAAGATGTAAAAATTTCATAACTTAGGAGTCATGCTGTGCCTTTACATAAACAGTGTATGTGACAACTTTACTTAGATGACTCATAATTATATGTAAAGTTTGATAAAAAAAATTGACAAATCAGGAAGTGGTAAATTAAAAGTTATATACATGTCATGAAAAGACCCGAGCATTTTTTTAATCCTTGACTAAATCCCAAGCTGATAACATACCGAGGCCAAAATAAACTGAAGGTCTATATTCCTGGTCTCATACCACAAAAAAAAATCTAAATATATCATTTAATCAAGTATATATTTTTAAATTACAATGTCCTTAATTATATCAATTATACAGTCATGTTTATTACATGCTTTTCAGTGGTTTATAGAAATAAATCAGTGATATAAAACTGGTAATTTCACTGTTTTAAACAGTTTCAGTGAAATACCGGCGTGCATAGTACTGGGAACCAACTAAATGACATGACATCATAAATGACGTCACGTTGTATTATAATTTTGCGCGCTTTTCATTCAGTATTAGGTTAAATGTCTTTTTAGAACATTTCTTTGCATATAATAAACAGAAAATTTGTTTAGTTAAGTGTAAGATCGAAATATATTTCACCTTGTGAACATCAAAATAAATATACCTTTTGGTGCTCACTTGGTGAAATATATTCCGATCTTACACTGAACTAAACAAATATCCTCTATATACTGTACAAAAAAAAAAAAAAAAATTTAAGTGAATTTATAAATATCTAATTGAATCGAGTATAATTTTAACATTACTTTATGTACAAATATACATTGAAATAAATGTGGTTTTTTGTTTTTTTGTTTTTTTCTAAAGGCAAAATCAAATTTTTATATTATTCTACAGTTATATAGAGTTTTTCTTCTAAAGGCAAATAAAAAGTTAAGCATGCATGTCAAGTATGCACTTAAAAACAGGGTAGGCATGGAGAACCAAAACAGAACACTTTTTTACATCAGACATTAACCAATAAAGTGCACTATCAAAGTACTAAAACTGAGGGAAAACAAACATTCATAAAGATTTTATGATAAATACTTTACCTGTATCATTACACAAATGACCCATTTTCAATGAAATGTTTTAAAATTTTGCAACTTTTATCACTGACAAATTTTCTTTCTTTCCTTCCACTGACTAGAAATGTCACAGAATGATGATCATTATTTGAGCCACATCATGACAAAGCCAACATAATGGGTTTGCGACCAGCATGGATCCAGACCAGCCTGCGCATCCGCGCAGTCTGATCAAGATCCATGCTGTTCACTTACAAACCCTATTACAAGTAGAGAAACTGATAGCGAACAGCATGGATCCTGATCAGACTGTGCGGATGCACAGGCTGGTCTGTATCCATGCTGGTAGCAAACCCATTATGTTGGTTTTTGTCATGATACGGCTCATTTATTCAGTTTTTTTCCTTGAATTGAGAATTTCAAACTTTTTTTACAGGGAAATTAACACACACAAGTGATTTCCTCTGCTATTTCCGTCCTTTCACAGGAGTCAGGAGTGAGGAGGGACCACTGAGTGTTACAATTGACTGGTACATACAATCATGTAACTGACAAATTAACATACTTTTAAGTGGAGAAATATACCTTTAAGTGGAGAAATATACCTATAAGTGGAGAAGTATGCCTTTAAGTGGAGAAATATACCTTTCAGTTGAGCAACATACTTTAAGTGGAGAAATATACCTTTAAGTGGAGCAACATACTTTAAGTGGAGAAATATACCTTTAAGTGGAGCAACATACCTTTAAGTGGAGAAATATTCCTTTAATTGGAGCAACATACCTTTAAGTGGAGAAATATACCTTTAAGTGGAGCAACATACCTTTAAGTGGAGAAATATACCTTTAAGTGGAGCAACATACCTTTAAGTGGAGCACCAAACAGAACCTCAGTTCTTAGAAACTGACTCCTCATATTGGAACTGTTCACTTTATCATCCACGTAGTAATAAAAATGGTTTGTTGTCAATGCAAATCTTAAAGCACTGTCCACATTATCCATATTATCACCCAGACCATCGTAAAACACTTTTCCCGTTTTGTCTTTTGACGGGAAAAAGTACGAGAGGAGGGAATTCAAAGGGGCACAACCGTTTATGGCTTTAACAGCCGGATCGTTTTTCACTTGACCGTCTTTATAACAAAATTCTGAGAATTTCTCGTGAGCAAGGATTTTCTTCTCAATGTTATGGATTTGATGCAATCGCTCTTTTGTAAAAATATTTTCACCCTTTTCTGTCATGAAGATGACCTGAAAATAAAGGACTTATTTTAAAGGAACTCCAGACTAAAAACATAATATTTTTAATTTTTACTCAGATAAACTGGGGCACTTAAAATTAAAAGATATGCAAAAGATAATTAAGACATACTTTTGTGCCATTCTTTGCATGATTTGAGTTAAAAGCCTTGCAACGTATTTAAATTTTTGGTCATTTTTCACAATCAGAATAATTATTTTGGAAAAACGCAGTGACGTTACAAAAATCTCGCAAAATCCCGAAATGTCAAAAAAAACTTAAGTGGAGTACCTTTAATGGATACACGGCCATTCTCTTAAGAAATATTTTTACAATATTCATCAACAGTAAAATAATATTGGTTCCCTAATCTTAAGGTCGATTCTCAAAGAAGTTGTAACATAAAATGTCTCTGTTATTTAAATACACCTTAATATTGCATGTAAACAGAATAAAATGTTTTGGAACAAAATATTACTATGCTGTTTTTACAGAGTGTCCCAAAAGAAAGTAACACTTTTAATCATTGATATATAAGAAGGGTTGTATTGGTTTTTAAAAGCAAATTAATAGAAATTATCGCTTAACTGTTAAGCAATAATTTCTATTAATTTGCTTTTAAGATAATTACTACCTTATTTATTTCATACAAGCATTTTGAAAGTATTCTTTTATAATATTCAAAAAATAATTTTTTAAGTAGAGGCTGGTAGCATCCTAACTAATATGATTATCTATGATTGTACTATGGATTTTTTTTTTAAATATTAAACAATATTTTTACGGCACACCAACACAAAAGGTAGGAGGGATAAACTGGAATCTATAATGCTTAACGGTAAAATCTACATGTACCAAAATATTTCTGTCTGAATTATGTTACTATGACGACATACCTGCATCTTCCAGGCTGGGTAATATTGACTCCACTCTGCCGACCGTCTTCTTCTAACTAATCTACGCCTTTTACGACGTTTTAATATATTTTGCATCAAGTCTGAATACAATCCACTTTGTCTTCCTACAAGTTTTGTGTCACCTGAAAATTCACACACAGACATTTTCCAATCAGAATCTTTTAAAATTATAACAATCAGTAGCAAAATATCAACAATCAGTAGCAAAATCACTATCAAAAAGATTTAAAAGTCTATTTCAATTTTCCATCTTTCCCCAGGGTTAAGGTTACAGATTGATGATTACAAATGCCAAACTATACTATTGGTTGCTCACTTTTAAGTCTTACTTTGCTGGAACCAAGTAGTTGAACTTTGCCACCAGTACAGAGCCTGACCAGCCAGGACATCCTTGCAGTCCTACCAGGCTCTACATGGTTGGTAGCTAAATTTTTGTGTACAAAATAAAACTAAAAGCCTGGTCCAGTAGATAATTCAGCTGAATAAAGGTTTCTGCTACAATTGTTCTGAATGCTCATGTCATTTAATATTAAGTACATTTATTAAACACAAGTAAAAAAATTTCAAAGAACTGACCTAGTAATGTATAAAACATTGGGATTTAACCATAAACTAGAAATGTGTCCATAGGACACGGATGCCCCCACACGCCACTGTTCTGTCAATCTTATGACTCTAGGTCAAATATTTTTTGGACTACATGTGCCACAAGTTGAAAACTAAAAATCAACAAAGGGCCATAATTCTGTTAAATTTGGTCGCAGCAAAAATTCCTTCCTTGACTACCATCTACACATTAAGGTTGTTAATCCCTTGAAGTTTAAGCAAAATCTGCCATCTGGTTTAAGAGGAGTTGCGTTCACTAAATTTCTACATAGTATATAATGAAAAAATCAACAAAGGGCCATAATTCTGTTAAATTTGGTTGCAGCAAATATTCCTTCCTTTACTGCCATCTACACATTAAGGTTGTTCATCCCTGGAAGTTTAAGCAAAATCTGCCATCCGGTTTAAGAGGAGTTGCATTCACAAAATTTCTACATAGTATATAGTGAAGAAAAAATCAACAAAGGGCCATAATTCTGTTAAATTTGGTCACAGCAAAAAATTCCTTCCGTTACTACCATCTACACCTTAAGGTTGTTCATCCCTGTAAGTTTAAGCAAAATCTGCCATCCGGTTTAAGAGAAGTTGCGTTCACAAAATTTCTACATAGTATATAGTGAAAAAATCAACAAAGGGCCATAATTCTGTTAAATTTGGTCGCAGCAAAAATTCCTTCCTTTACTACCATCTACACATTAAGGTTGTTCATCCCTGTAAGTTTAAGCAAAATCTGCCATCCGGTTTAAGAGGAGTTGCGTTCACAAAATTTCGGGACGTACGGACGGACTGACGGATGGACAAGTGCAACGCTATATGCTCCCACATTGTGGGGGCATAAAAATCAATAAACATGTGTCATGGAAGAAATTTTCACAACATTCATAATACTAAACGAAACAAGAGGGCCATGATGGCCCTGAGGTCGCTCACCTGTATATAGCCCCCCCCGGCCCAATTTTTACCCAAGGGCTTTTATTTGTTTATTTGAACAGACTTGGTAGACACCCATAAGAAGATGTTTCATGCAAAACATCTAAGTTCTAGCTCATTGGGTTTTTTAAAAGAAGATTTTTTAAGTTTTTACTATACACATAGAGTAAAAAACAATGACACCCCTCGGGCAGGGCCAGTTTTGACCCCTGGGCTTTTATTTGAACAAACTTTGTAGATATTTACTTAAAGATGTTTCATGCTTAATATCTAAACTCTAGTTATTTGGGTTTTTTCAAAGAAGATTTTTAAGTTTTTGCTATGTATATAAGGAAAATCAATGACCCCCGGGGCGGGGCCAGTTTTGACCCCAGGGCTTTTATTTGAACATACTTGGTAGACACCCATTAGAACATGTCTCATGCTAAATATCTTAGCTCTAGCTCTTTGGGTTCTTTAAAAGAAGATTTTATAAGTTTTTACTATATGCATATAAGGAAAATCAATGACCCCTGGGGAGGGGCCAATTTGGACCCCAGGGGTTTTATTTGAACAAACTTGGTAGACATTCACTAGAAGATGTTTCATGCCAAATATATAAGCTTTAGCTCTTACAGTTCTTTAAAAGAAGATTTTTTAAGTTTTTACTATATGCATATAGGGAAAATCAATGACCCCCTGGGGCGGGCCAATTTTGACCCCAGGGCTTTTATTTGAACAAACTTGGTAGACATTTACTAGAAGATGTTTTATGCCAAATATCTAAGCTCTAGCTCTTACAGTTCTTTAAAAGAAGATTTTTTAAGTTTAAACTATATGCATATAGGGAAAATCAATTACCCCCCAGGGCGGGGCCAATTTTGACCCCAGGGCTTTTATTTGAACAAACTTGGTAGACATTCACTAGAAGATGTTTCATGCCAAATATCTAAGCTCTAGCTCTTTGGGTTCTTTAAAAGAAGATTTTTTAAGTTTTTACTTTATGCATATAGGGAAAATCAATGACCCCCTGGGGCGGGGCCAATTTTGACCCCAGGGCTTTTATTTGAACAAACTTGGTAGACATTCACTAGAAGATGTTTCATGCCAAATATCTAAGCTCTAGCTCTTACAGTTCTTTAAAGGAAGATTTTTTAAGTGTTTACTATATGCATATAGGGAAAATCAATGACCCCCCGGGGCGGGGCCAATTTTGACCCCAGGGCTTTTATTTGAACAAACTTGGTAGACACTCACTAGAAGATGTTCCATGCCAAAAATCTTAGCTCTAGCTCTTACAGTTCTTTAAAAGAAGATCTTTTAAGTTTTTACTATATGCATATAGGGAAAATCAATGACCTCCCGGGGGCGGGGCCAATTTTGACCCCAGGGCTTTTATTTGAACAAACTTGGTAGACACTCATTAGAAGATGTTTCATGCCAAATATCTAAGCTCTAGCTCTTAGGGTTGTTTAAAAGAAGATATTTAAAGATTTTTCTTTCGGTTGCCATGGCAACCAGAGTTCTGCATGGAATTAAATTCTTTGAACAATTTTTAAAGGTGACCACCAAAGGAACATTCCTGTGAAGTTTGGATGAAATTGGCTCAGTGGTTTATGAGGAGATGTCATTTAAAGCAAAACTTTACGGACGGACGACGGACGACGGACGGACGACGGACGGACGGACGGACGCCGGACGAAAAGCGATCACAAAAGCTCACCCTGTCACTTTGTGACAGGTGAGCTAAAAATAAAAACCCAAATTAATTAAGTTTTTATTACCTATGTTATTTTTAACTCCTCTCCCTGACCTTTGAAGATGATACAGCCAGCTCACTCTGTTCATGTCCAGTCTGGAGAATGACGTGTGATTCTTTTTGGCAGTCTGGAGTGCCCCATAATTCAACGATGCTTCATGATTAGGAATTCTAAATGCTCGGTATGATTTATCAATCACTGGCGCGGGCTTCAATACAAACAACGCATGATATCCTAGCCCCGAGCAGATTGCCAGCACGCTGAACATGCAAAACAAACATATAAACAAGTCCAGACATGTTCGACGGGACTTCTCGGGGATTCTTCTGAACCTTATGCTAAAGTATGCAAAATTGATGCGTGGAATTTTCAAGGTTTTCATCAAAATTATGATCCTGCTGAACGAGAACAGCCCATTATCGTCATCATCGTCTAATTCATCATCAGCGTTGTCATTGATGATGTAATTCAGTGGTAAATTGGCATCAATATCGTCTCGGTCGTCCAAAGGCTCGTAATTTCTTCGTGACTGGGAAAAAAAGCCTGCCATTGCAATATGTTACTTTCTTCTCGTCATAGTTCTCTCATCTGAAAAGAAATAGGGAAAAAAATATTAAGTTAAAATTTCACAAAATTTGAAATTATTAAAAACATTATATCATGAAAATCGAAAACAATCTGAAGATATCTGATTAATGTGACCTATATTGAACTATATTCAAATATCTTTTCTAAATCAGCTTTCTCGTAGTCCACATTCAGCTTTCTTGCCCCATAGAGGGCCAATTTTCGATCTCATTGCTAATTGAACACTTTGTCTACCAGGCATGTCATATGAAATCAATTTTTTTTCAATGTAAGATAAGAATATGGTGTATTCTTTTTTGTGTACATGTTTTAAACAGTGATTTTGCCATTTCACTTCATATAACATCATGAAATAAAAGAATCTTACATCTTCAACACTCACGCAATAATGAATAATGAAAAAACAACTTATGTCACGCACCAAAAATATTTTCATATGTACATGTAACTAAATCAAATTCAGATTATAAATATATTTTAAAATGACAAACTTGTATTTACGAATCAAACTACTGTAAATTTATATAATGATATAATTTGTATAATGAATTGTATCATTGTTACTCATTTATTTTACTTTCATTAAATTTTAATTTAAATTTAAAAAAACAAAGGATATACCGATACTTGGTACATTATTTAATTATTTTCAAAACTGATTTTTTTCTCTCTCATTTCCTTGGAGTGTTGGTGGCTTCACTTTTTACCTATGCAACCAGTGTAGACCAACATTGGCTAGCACATAAATATCTGATCATGATCTGCACTGTTCACTATTCAGCCATTTTTTTTAAATTCCCTCCTAAAATGGCAAATTTATAAAATATGTCCAGGTTGGAAGTCCTTTTAAGATATTTAGTATGATAAGAGTCAATAATTAGCATGTAGTAATTGTAGTTCATTTATAACAAGGCAACTGTGTTAAAGGCACATTGAATAAATTTTTCACACTTTAGAAAAATGCAATAATGAGTTTAATAACATTTAAATTTTGGTTTTAGAGCCAGATTAAAATGCATAAACTTGAAGAAAGAAGCGCTGATTGTGACTTTGAATGTACTTATTGCCGAGAAGCAATAGAAAGTCCAGTCCAATCTAAAAAGTATCTTTTTGGAAACTATAACCAGACTCCAAAAATAAAGATGCTTTTGAAAAATAAGAATAAAAGCATTTTTGGGGCATAATGAGCCTTTAAAAAAAACAACATATGAAGTGAAATACAATGTATTTCATAGAAATTCTATTTTGAGCAAAAGTTTAAACAATTATGAAATGTTTATTAGTGAAATTTTCTCCCTTTTTTAGTAACAGACTGCATAAATGATCATATCTTAAATAATAAACAACACTAAATATCTTAAAATAGACAGAATAATTAATCATTAATAGGGAAATTTCAAAATAATATCTGACTGATTATTTAACAGTGCAGACCATGATCAGTGCATGGCCATCAGCAAAACTAAGTTCAACTACATGTATATACATGTATACAAAATGAAAGGGTCTCCACTGAGGTTTAAAAGTCTGAAAAACATAACATTTGAATTTCTTATATAAATGAGCTGCTGCAATTAAAACAGAAATATATGCAAATATTGTTAAGAAATATACTTTGAAGTAAAAAGAAGTTTGTATTTTTATGCTGTTCTTAGCCCAATTTGAGTGAAAAGCGTTTGAACACTTTTCATTTTGGGTCATTTTTTACAATTTGAATAATTATTCTGGAAAAACTAAATGCGCGAGTGATCATTCTGAAATTTTGAACAAAGATTTGAGGTCTAAACCTACATCATGATCAATGGTACATTTATCTGGAAAATATTTTCAGTCCCATTATATAATGTCAAAAAAACTCAGTGGAGTCCCTTTAATTAAACATAACACTACACTATCAACATATAAATTTTACATAAAAAATCATGTATCAAAAAGGATAACCAGAAGAAGGGTAAACAGTACCCAAAACTGATAGTCGTTATAAATAATTTTATATAGACTGACCTGGTGTTTTGTTATGTTGTTCTCCCCTCAAAATCATTTAATTTATCATATAATGATACATGAAAAAAGATAAATTTACATTCAGAAAGTACAAAACTCAAGTACATGATTGTATGAAACATACAAAAAAAAATTAAAAATCAATAAAGTTTACTACCAGAAAAAATCTATAAAGTCAGATCAAATCCAAACCTTATATGTTTTCTTTGCTTTATATTCAACAAAAAAAATCATCAATTTTATTATTTATATATTGGTTTAAACATATTTACTTAAGCTTACTTGCGAAACAAGTTTTTGCAATGTACATTAATCACTTTCAAGTCTAGTTCCTGGCACCAACCAGTACTGTCATATGAAGCAACAGGGTTGTGTCCCAATTAGGACTCGAACCCATATACATGTATATGACATCATCACCATACAATCCTAGTTATTATTAATACAACAAATACTCAACAATCTATAAAATCCCCAACAAATAATAATTTACGAAATCCGGTCTCTTATCCTATACATCATAATGTATTGAACCCAAACCTGAGTGAGCTAAAACACACATTTTTAATTTCATTTCAATAAATATTCATACAAAAAATTGATACCAATCCTGCACAGCCTCTGATGACTATCACAGTACATGTACAATATACATTTAGTATACAGTAACATGTATAATGTTTATAATTTATTAAACCATAACAGACCACTGATTTACAGAATATCTGTCAACAAAGTTTAAAGCTTATCTATTTTGACACATGTATATAAATAACATATTAAATAATCATAAAACAGTGTGTTTGTAACATCCAGAATTTGTAGGATAAGTGGACAACTGACAGCTTTTACATGTACATTTTGTGCTTCAACCTTTTGACTATGTGACTCTGACAATATTAGACAGAGTTTGCATTCATAGATGACTTGTTTATATGATCTAAATATAATTATATGTGCAGCAAGATGCAGTTACATGTAACTGACTTTTTTATGAGGAAGCAGTGACTTTTCTGCCTATATTTTACAGTTGAATAAAGGCTGCATCCCCTAGCCAAAAATTGGTATTTCCCCCCACCCCCCTTAAAATGCTATATTTTCCCCTGACATGCCATATGCACATTCTTTATCAGAACCATAACTTAACATCAGCTAGTTCATAAATTTAATTGACTAAGACACAAAGCTGACCCTATACTATACTTAGCTTTTATAGATAGCTTTTGCTATGTTCAATGTACCATTTAATTTAATTATGCATATTAAATTGAATTGAAATGAAATTTTTATAAATTTGTGGGTAAATTCCATTCTCAGTTTCTGGAATTTGATTTCAGATTTTCCCCTTTTTCTGATGCATTGGTTGTAGTATCCCCTTTACAAAGTCCCAAGTTATTTGGAAAAATGAAAAACAAGAGGGCCAAGATGGCCCTAGAACTTGACCTAGAAGAAAAAAAAACTTTCAGACCAATTTCAAGGATATTTGGATCAAAACAGTAGCCACTACAGTGTTAACAAGATTTTTCTATTTTTAGCTCCTGTGACCTAGTTTTCCTCCGAGATGACCCATGTTCGAACTCATCCAAGCAATTACCTAGACAAGTTTGATGATGATTGAGTCAAAAATATGAACTTTCACTCCACAAACCCCCCTCTCTTAAGAAAATATTCATTGTCTGTGACCAATACATACTGGCAAATATCTCCATCTCAAATAATGTAATTTAAAAAATAATCTGAAGCAATTTTAATTCATAAACTACATTTTAAGTGTTATTACACAACTTTTAACAAAACGTCATAGCTTCCTTTTAATTATAAAAACTGCCAAAGTGGTATCGCAAAAATGTGTGACAAATAAAAAAAAGGGAAAAGTTTACTGGTATTTATTTGACGTGTTGGTCAATATCTTTTAACTTCTAAATAAAATTCTTTAAGAAGAATAAAAAACAACAACATAAACAACATAAAATCCCCCGATTTTGGCTGCATCATTTTTACAAAACCAAATAGCGGACCTATTATAAGTTGACAATCTCTTTAGATAATTGCCATTAATAATCACGGATTACCAATCGACAGTATAATTTTTTGTTTCAATATTGTCCCAAGTTACATGTATATGTAAATTATCTCAATCTGCAGCAAACACCCATCGCTAAGCAGTAACAGCCACAGAAGACTCGCTTGTTTACTGTCAAAAACTGAAAAAGTACACACTTAATCACAGTAGGCTATAATGATGTAATGAACTTATGATTCCCGATTGACAGCAATCACTTGCTGGAATATGTATTTATGTTTGTTTACTATCAAATCTGGGCAAATCAGAATCCCAGCAGCAATAAACATGCGTCACCCACAACCCAGTAAATTAAAACTTCATTTCCCTTAGTCCAACAAATTAGACTTGTCAAAGAGACATTGATGATTGAGATAATTTTTGATGGGCGATGTCTTTTTCCAACAGTTTGACAGTATGAAAAAGACAGTCTGTAAAATTGGTCAAACTGTTCACGCTACATTTCCCTGAGAAAGTCTTGAACTAAAAAAAATTTCCCTGAGAAAATCTTGAACTAAAAAAAAAAACAACAAAAGGTCTGAGAAATTCACATAACATGTCATCTTCTTGACAGTAGTCAAATCTTGTCTTGTTATATGCAGATTATAACATAAGCTACATAGCTTATGTTTTGTGAAATGTTTTATTTGTATACCGATAGTATTAGTAAAAAAATTGATTTGTGCAGCAGAATTATCCATTGTAATAAAAAATTATAAATGTAATATCTAAATTCTAATTAATTTAGCATTTCTTTCAATAAGCTGGAACATACGATACGGGGACGGGAAACACAGAGATTATCGCTCCTTATGTTTTCGTCCAATCAGGAATCAGCGCCGCCATTTTACAATTTTAGTTCAAAGCGGAGGAAATGTTCGGTCAGAAAATCGATCGGTATGTTTACTTAATGGGGTTGAAGTCCCCAGAAAGTAAATGAAATAATTCTGTAAGTATCATGACATTGATCTGATGTATTTTTAACATGGTGTATAAAGTATCTAATGTGAAAAACTGTGTCTGTTGAAAGAATAAAAATTTCAATCGAACTGATGTTTTGTGTTGATCGCCGTGAAAGGGTAATTTTTGTCTGCAAAACTTCGTTTAAATTAGTAAATTACAAGAAAACTGACAGAATATTTTGATAGATCCTTTAAATATCTTTGGTTTAATGTTAAGATTATGGAATTTTAGTGAGATAAAATGAAATTTTACGGGTTCCAATTTTATGAACTGTGACAAAAATCCGAAAAATAAAATGGCGGAATGCAAACGTGATGTACATTTTTTTGTCCCGTAAATGAACGTTATATGTTAATTAAATTTGTCCCATGTTAGTATTTTTTAGTGAAACATAAACTTATCTATAGCAAGAAAGTAAAATTGGATCAATTATCTTGTAGGATTTATCATTACGCTGTGTCAAATTTCAACATTTTTTTGGTGAAATCTGAGACCAAACCATAAATTGATGAATTTGCAGTTAAGTCGTTTGATATTTAAAAAAGTAGAAAAAATAATGTTTTAGAAATAGGTATAGGGTTTCTTTTAATTTTTTGAAAACCATAATTTGTTATCTGAATGAGAAAAAAAACAACATCTTATTAAAAATTTATAGATTCCTTAGCTGTGTCATTGGATATCATGAATGATATATCCTGTCATGGTGTCAATTGTTATTTGCACTTTTAAAGTCTTTTATTCCTTATTTTTTGTATAATATTTATTTCAATCTCAATTGCAGGTTTATCGAAGATTGAAAACTTTCCATCAGATGCTTTCTTCACAAATTTCTTTTGCTTGAGAATACCAGTAATGCATGAACAAGATACTGAGTGTAAGGTCACAAAAGATACCATGAATTTGTCGATTCAGATTGAAGGATTAAAATATGTATTCGTGTCACAGAGAAAATGAAGTTGGAACCTACTTGTGCATTCATATATCTGATGAAACATTTTTTCAAAGCCGCATGCCTCCAGATTACCCAAAATATTTCAAAGAAATTACACTTGGAAAAAAAAACATACTAAAACTTTAAGAAAAAGTAAAAACAGATCAAAGATTAAATTGATAATTTATATCTTATGTGCAATTAATGACTGTATATTGCAGTATTTATCACCATATTTATACTGCGTTTTACTAACGCAGTAGGGGCCATTCATGCACATTTTGACTTTTTTTGGTAATTTATGTAGATTATAAGTGCCGATTTCAATGTGTCAAGTATTTCTTTTGTTCATTTCACAATATTTTTTGTATTTGTATTCCAATTATGTTTACATTTGTACAGCTAATATTCATAAGATGAAATAAAATATTTTAAAAAAAATTGTAATGTGTAATATATTGATAAAGTGTTTTTTTATCAACTAGGTAGTCCTTCATGCTGCCTAGCCTTTTAATAAACGAGTAAAAGAATTTTAATAAGTCAGTGGTTTCAGTATAATAAAAAATCACAGATATATTGTCCACTGGTCTGATGCATATATATACATACAGAAATGTCACATGAAAATGGGTCGAAGCTGGAACTCTAACAATGGGTATGCAGGTTGATGACCAGTATGACGTGGGCCATTGCAAATATGAATCTTAGTTTGTTATACTATTTACAATTGAAAAAGACCCACAGTAAGAAACATTGCATAAAAAAAAAGTTTTTTCTAACCTTTAACATTCTTAAACTCCATGTTTATTCCTTAAATGTCCTCTTTATACCGATACAGAATTGTATGACTTATCACACTAATCACATACATAAGTTTTTCTTTTATCATCTTTAGATTTTACACTTATTCTTATCCTCATCATCAGAATTTTCATATTCACTAGCTGTAAATTCACCAAGAAAAAAAATCTAAATCAATATCCTCAAAGAGAACAAAATCCGATTTTCCATATGCCATATTTGCAGTGTATCAGTATGTATAAATTTCATATATGAACATTGCATCTTAAATGTTATCTTTTTATGAAAAATTTATAATTAAAACTGTCATTCAATAGCATATTTTTAAAAGGGCATTATTGTGTGAAGTAAGAAAACAATCTATTCAAAAATGAAGATTAAAGCTGAATAAAGAACATTAATTACAAATATATGCTTGAAAAATATGTTTAAACATCAAAGATTATCAAAGGCCATGTTTGAAAAACAAACATGAATAAAACAAAGGTCAGACATTTTATTAAACCAAAAAATTATTACATGTTATAAACTTGTTTATAGCAGCTGTACACTTTAATTACATAAATAATAAGTCCCAATACAAAATAATTTCTATGTTTATTGACACATTTGACATAATTATTTCTATAATTAATATAAACCATGTAATTAAAAGCTATAATTTGAAATTTAATGATTAAGTTATTTCTGAACGTATTTAAATTACAAAACGTAAATTTTCATATCATAATTAAATATGGTAAATTACTTTTCTGTATCTGTTTCATATTTATTAATATTAATATTTTTAAAATTGATCCAATGAAAAAAGTATTTAAGAAACCAACAACCTTTTTTTCCTACTATTTTGATTGCCCACCTCCCAAAATCACCGGAAAATTTATGCACGGAATATATCCGATCAACCCGGCATGTACCGTGATTACGGCGTTTAAACACGGCGCTTATCGATCGATCGATTCCAATTGGACACCAACATTGGCACTGATAAGAAAGCGCGAGTGACATATCCCGTTATAGTACATCCCAGCAATAAGTAATTTAAACATTTCTGCTCATTATTAAAATTCTTATCTTACCCTCGATGAATATTTTCTACAGATGATATCAAAGCAACATCAAATCAATAAATTATTTTATCAGCTCAGCTAAGGCGAGATCAAATTTCAAGAAGGAAAAACAAAATTATTTGCGACATATTTTTACGATAGACTTACCTTTTAATTTAAAAACGTACATAAATATTTGCAAATATCTTTCTTCAGGAAAACAAAAGAGACATATCCGTTCTTGAAGTAAAATTGACAAAGTAAATAACAAAGACCTTTGTTTCTGCGTTTTGTTGTTGTTTTTTCTGAAACGGATTGCCGTAAAATAAGCACGTCGTGAAAACTGTCAGTTAGGCCTACAGTACACAACAAACCGCACTTGAGATTGTAGATTGTTTTGATTATCTTGGGGTTCAGTTTTCATTTAACGGAAAATTTTTAGGCACAAGAAAAAAACTGATTGATCAAGCTCGAAAAGCTATGTTTTCTGTGTTAACAAAGTCTCGGAAACTTTCTTTACCATTTGATATACAATTGAGTTTATTTGATGCAATGGTGGCTCCTATTATTTTATATGGATCTGAGGTCTGGGGAGTAGAAAATGTACAAATAATTGATCGTTTCAATTGAAATTTATTAAATTAGTTTTTCGGACTGAAGCAATCTACCCCATCATGTATGATTTATGGCGAGCTAGGAATATTGCCTTTGTCTTTGCAAATTAAGTCAAGAGTTCTGAACTATTGGGGCTTAAACTGATTAATGATAAAAAAGATAAAATTTTTTTTTGTTT